TGGGGGAGAGCGCCCATGAAAAACACCCCCCCCCCCCCCCCCCCAAGATGAGTCGCAGGTTCATGAAAAAAGACCGGCTTCGACCGACAAGATCCAACCAGACCAGCAAGCCTGGCCTATAGAAGCAGAAACCACAAGAGGGCATGCAGATGACTTCAGCGCTCGAGTGGGACCCACATAGGCTTTAATCGCATACAAGAGGGGAATTAAACGACATTTTGAGAGAAAGTTTGAATGGCTTTTGGAGAGTATTTATGAGGATTAACTGGCTAGGGTTTGTTTTAGATTTTGAATTGCTACAATTATTTTTCTCTTGGTGTTTCTAACGATCTCTAGAATTTGTGGAGATGATATACCTCTCGAACAGTAGATCAACATTGTATCTTTTTTTTTTTTTCATTGGTATTAATAAAATCAGCCATCATTTGAGTTCTCAAACATCTCTATTGCAATTTATCCGTTGTTTGTTTGTTTTTTTTTTTTTCATCCAGGTTGTATCACAAACACGTGTAGCTAATGCTCCAGCCATATACAACCCAAACTAAGAAATTGACTCCCAACATTTGTCAAAAGTGTAGGGTTATATGCATATGAAATACACAAATTTTAGATAAGATAAATTCAAAATTTATTCAAATTTTTATACCCAATTTTTCGCAACATTCAAAAATAATTATAAGTAATTTTATAAATTTTATATTTTATAATGATCATTTTGATATATATATATATATATATATATATATATATATATATGTTTTTTTTAATTTATGCATAATAATTGCTAAATTTTAGACTCAAGATTTTATGAAAGGAGACAAAATCACCCAACCACTAGGCCAAATACTTAGCACAAAATCTAATCATATAAGTAATTATTAAGTACTAGCTTCCATAAATTAATTTAGTTTTAAAATCAATTAATCTAAATTTTAATGTTAGTATAAATATAACATGGACTATTATCCTGTAGATGTGGATGAAATTCTGGAATCCCTACTTTGCTAGGCATGCAACAATGGATTAAAAATGAATGGCTAAAATTTCGTTTAATGAAAGTAGAATAGGAGAGGAAAAAGGTGAAGAAGGGAAATCATGGTTTTGAGGAGAAAAAAATCCAATTTTTTATATTTCTTCGGCGAATAGATATTATATTAAATTAGTAGATTTTGAAGCTCATATGAAGAGCTATTTTGAGATAAAAGCTTAATTTGAGATATTTGTTTTAAAATTTAGTAGAAAAGAAAATTTATAAATTGAGAGATGTATATCTTTTAAATTGTTTATAGAAGAATGAAGACCCATAGTGATGATCGAAATGAAGCTTGTCCTATCATCAAACGCCAGTTGGTTAAGATGCTCTATTTTTAATTCATGAAGAAAAATTTTACCTATATTTTATCTATTTATAAGTATTATAAATAACCGTTGGAGAAAAAATCTATTGTTCAAAGTGCATGTTAATGTCCTACCATCATGATAAAATGAATATGCAATTTTGTTCAGAATGGAAAACATGTGTTTAAAGCATTAAAAATATGTTAGCATTTTACTAAAAAGTTGAACTTTAAAAACAAGGGCAAAATTACATTTATAAACTAAAAATTCAATCACAAAATTAACTACATGTGAAAAAGGAAGGTTACATGTACTCAAATGTTAAAAATGAAAAGAAAAAATTATAATAACTTTTACATGTAAAACAAAAAAGCAAGCCCATATAAAGAGAAAAAGATCCTCAAATTAATATATTTATGATAATTTGTAAAGATAAGGCAACAGAAAGAGCCCACGGAGGCAAAAGGGTTCTAAAAATTGATATGTTAATGATAAATTGTATAGATATGAAAACAAAGATAAGCTTATATGAAGGTAAAAAATGTTTTTAAAGTTAATATGCTTATGGTACATATATAGATAAGGCAATAAATATGAGCACTTACGATGAAAATAAAGTCCACAATATGTGGCTTTCTATCTTATGATCTCTAATAAATCTAGCCCCACATGTATGATATAATCCATAGTTAAAAAGATTACTTTTTCATGATGATACCTCTCTCTCTCTCTCTCTCTCTCTCTCTCTCTCTCTCTCTCTATATTGTATAATAAATGGTCGGAGGCTATAATACGAGCCCCCAGCCACCCTCATGCACCTAACCACTCAATCCCGCACTGCAAGACAGATGCACTCAGGCAGGATCGAACCCGTGACCATAACACAACTCACTGTGATCTACAACCCAATGGTCAGAAGCAGATGCACCACAAACGAGTCAGAGCGAGAGAAACACACACACACACATACATTCTAGTATTTATATTATTTTAATTAATAATATTATGTTAAAATTTATTTTAATTATATATCTTATTTACTATTAGAACATATATTATTCAGGTAATTTTATTTTATAATAATTACAAGATACTGCACTAATTCACAATGTTTACTTTAATTCCGAACATATTGGAATTCTAATTTAGAATTGTTTATTTAACAAAACTTCTACTCTCACCAGATAATATGTTGAATTTTATTTTAGGTAAAGGAAAAGATAAAGTGAGCTTTACTAATAATTATGTTTTAATCAAGTAGTTATTTTGATAAAGAATTCTGATGTATAATTTTGATGAAAGATAAAGTATGATTAGGCATGTATATGATGAAAAAAATTTCTATTGCATAAGCAAAATTTGATATTTATTAAACACAATAGTTGAAAAAGTGACAAAAAAAAAATGAATGCTTCCGCAAAATTTATTTGTGTCGATAATAAGATTTCAATGAGTTAGAAATTTATATTGAATAATTTTTTATAGTCACTAAAGTGATTAACTTTATTAATTACTATGTTTTAATAATTATAACTCATAATGAGTGATGGTAAATACAATAAATTGGGTTATACCAACCTCTATTACGCCTTTTGATTAACTGGA